AGAGGGGAGGTGGTTGGGGAGTGGGGTAGTAGATGATGGGGATTTAGAAGTGCACTTGTGATGAGCTTTGGTGATGCTTGGGAAGTGTTGAGCCACTATGTTATACCTGAAACTAATACAACACTGTATGTTAACTATACTGGACTTAAAATTTTCAAACAGTGCTTTTTTAATTTCGTTCACCAGTTGCAGTGTTTCTTAGAGTCATTCTGATTTATATCTCAAACTACTTTTCATCGTAGAACATGACTCAAATTTACAGTAAGTCTACTGTGTTTGCTAAGAAATCCTGCGGCTGCTTAATGACACCATCGGGAAATAAAACAGAAAAAAACAGTTAAAGAGAAGTGGGTCAGGCAGGAACTGAAGGAAAAAAAGAAAGGAGAACAAAAAGGGATAAGAAGTTGTGTGCACTAGATAGTGTTGGGTGAGAAGGTGGTAACTGCTCAAGTTGTCCCTTAATGACCAGTCACCATATATATGTGTTTACCTCTAATGCATTTTACAGATGGGCAGAACATTCAGGATTAGGACACAAAAGCTTTTTCTATAAAGCTTCAACTTCCTGGAGACAGTAGGCATTAATAAATTAAAATTTAGTGACACATTGATAAGTAAAAGTTAAAAAAAATAAAACCCCAAATATGAAAATCATGCCAGGAGCACCTGGGTGGCTCAGTTAGTTAAGTGTCTGATTTTGGCTCAGGTCATGATCTCATGATTTGTGGGTCCACCCCTGCATTGGGCTCTGTGCTGACAGCTCAGAGCCTGGAGCCTGCTTCTGATTCTGTGTCTCCCTCTCTCTCCGCCCCACCTCTGCTTGTGTTCTGTCTCTCTCTCTCAAAAATAAATAAAATTTTTAAAAAATAAAAAAAAAAAGGAAAATCACGCCAAAGGTCCTGTTTCTCCCTTGAACTTGGGGACCAAGTTATGAACATGATAAGAAGTTGTAAACTCTACTTGGGACTAATCAGCATTGCTGTTCAGGGTCCTTTCACACTAATTTAAGGTGACTATGGTCGTAGAATCCTATGATGCTTCAGCATGCTGTCATTTCACATGCTTTAAGCACATAGGAGAGGAAGAAGAGGGAGAAAAGGAACCCACCTTTCTATGGCAGTTGTGACTCAAAATACTGTGTGTTCTCTTTTAGTCTCTTGTTGGTTCTAACTAGAACTCATTTATTTTGCTAAAGGAAATTTAATGTGGAAGAGATGCATTGGGTATGACAGATGAAAGTCACTTTTCTCAGCAAAAGACATTTTAATCTCAGGGCATATTCTAGAATAACCAATGCTATTAAAAAGCAGGCAGCTGGAGTACCCTATAAGACACAGAATGAACTAAAGCAGTCCATGTGATCAGTACAGGCTCACAATATTCAGTGCTAGGTAGATGCATCATCCAGATGCCTTATAAAATCCAACTTTGTTAAAGTGACCAGATATTTTGGCATTGTGTAGACAGAGTCTTAGTTCTACAAATGTTAAGTGACGTCAGATTTTTCTGCTGAAGACAACTCCGGTGACCGAATTCAACATTAAACACTTAGTTGAAAAAGTAGTGATTTGGTTTTAAAATTAAAAAAAAAAAAAAGGTTTAAGTTAATTTTCATCAGGGTGAATTTGTTTAAATGTGGTTGGAAGACATGTAAAAACTTAAAAACGTGGTTGGGGGAAGCGACCCAGAGCAATACAGGTCTGTGTCACAATGCTACTTTTCAGTTAGAGAGTTCTCTTCGTTCTTCAGAAATTTCCATATATAGTTTCTCATTTAATTCTCCAAACAATTTTTTAAAGTAATACAAATTATTCCATTTTTCCAATCTAGAGGTGACGAAAATGAGTCCCACACAGGTGAAGTGACCTGCCTAGAGGGGGCATATTGCTGTAATAGGCTTCTCACATTGTTCATGCGTCCCTGTATCTATTTCCTTACGTGTCTACATCCAGTTTAACTGCACTTACTCATATTGTTTTTGGCCAATGGAGCAATAGCAAACATGGCACAAACAGAGGCTTGACAGGTGCTTTTTCCCCTTCTTCCTGCTGGGAATCTTTGTGCCACAAGGTGCCACCTGATGGGCCACCTGGAGACCAGGCCAAGGCCGCAGACATATGGATGAGGGCATCGTAGATCTACCAGCCCCAGCAAAATAGCCAAGGGGGTAGGACCAGCCAGCCAGCCGTCAGATTCATGAATTAATAATCAGTCATTGTCTTTTTTTTTTTAAGTTTCTTTATTTATTTTGAGAGAGACAGAGAATGCCTGAGTGGAGGAGGGGCAGAGAGAGAGACAGAATCCCAAGCAGGCTCCGTGTGGTTGGCTCAGAGCCCGATGTGGGGCTCAAACCCACGAACCACTGAGATCATGACCTGCGCCAAAATCAAGAGTCAGACACTTAACTAACTGAGCCACTCAGGTGCCCTCTTCCTATGTTTTTTAACCATGTGGGAAATGTGGTTGCAGTATATTTGTATTACCTATTTTATTTCATTTTATTTTATTTTATTTTATTTTAATTTTATTTTATTTTATTTATTTTTTAACGTTTATTTTTGAGAGAGAGGGAGAGCATGAGTAGTAGAGGGGCAGAGAGAGAGAGAGAGAGAGAGAGAATGAATCTGAAGTGGGCTCTGAGCTGACAGCAGAGAGCCCAATGTGGGGCTTGAACTCACAAATGGTGAGATCATGACCTGAGCTGAAGTCGGACGCTCAACTGACTGAGCCTCCCGTGCACCCCTGGGGATGATTGTTAAAGCATCAAGCACTAACTCACAAACCTAGAGTCACAAGGCAGACGGAGCAAGACCAAAGCACAGAACTTTTGAATCCAATTTCAGCCCTCCACTGGGGGATGGAAAAGTGGGTATTTTACCCAGAAGTTGAAAGAAATTGATCTAAAGGATTTTAAAAATTGAGAAGGGAGAAATCAGATCGTTCCACAGGGACTGTCAGAGGCTTTAGTTTTTGCTTATTTTTACAAAATTCTTTTATCTTTGTAACTAAATAGCTGTTATCTACAGACACATTTTTTCCTACTCTTAGATTTGTTCCTTCGTCGCTTGTATCATAGTATGTGGCTTTCATTAAGGGTTAAGTTTTCCAGGGGAAAATGTAAGATAAAACCATTCAGGGTTATTCATTTATTGTCTTGACATATTTATAATTCATGGCATATGTATTTTACCTTCTATAGGCCTGTGGGGCGGAATAAAATACCCAATGTAGCATAGAGCAACATTTTTTTTCAGACTTCCCTCCACGGGGCTTGTGCATACTCAAATCAGTAGTTCACAACTGCTCAGGAATAAAACAAGTTATTTTTGTTGTTTTACATGGCCCCAAAATATCGTGCCGAGTATCCCAATGAAAACAAACATTCATGTTTTCAATATTTGTCGTCTTAGTAGTTGCTTTGGTGAATTTCCCTCAAATCTCCCAACGGTTTCTTCGGGTTTCGTACCAAGATTGATCTTTCTCAGGCACAAAATGATTTTTTAGAAACTAAGATTTAATTTGAATGGGGACGGGGAAGTAGGTGAAACAATGGCTTTTCGAGGGAGGCTGGCCGCAACTTTGAAGTCCAGAGCTATAGGCATGGCTTTGTAATGCCCCGCTGGAAAAAAAAAAAAAAAATCCCACAGAAAAGTAAACATTTTGACAAGGATCTAGACATCAATTGGAGCTCATCCAGTATTAAACAGAAACACATGCTTTGTTCAAGGCATTTACAGAAACAAAACCATCCTGCCTTCTTTATTTATTTTTTTAAAGTTCAGTCTTCTATTTGTGCCCTGTCATGACTAAAGGAGACTATGAATTGGAAACAAAGGCACATTCTTCCAACTAAAATCTGAAACACGTCCACTTTCTCCTTTCCAGTGCCTTTACCCGTGACCTCACGGCCCATGCTCTCATCCTCCTCCACCGTGCCCTTCCACGTGTTACTATATTTTTATTTTTATTTTTTTTAAGGAGTCTCCACACCCAGTGTGGAGCTGAACTCGGGGCTCGAGCTCACGACCCTGAGATCAAGACCTGAGCTGAGATCAAGACTTGGACGCTTAACCGATTGAGCCGCTCAGGTGCCCCCACCACGCGTTACTATAAATGTGCTTTGGCCAAATATTAATGCTAGGCGCCGATAGCAAGAAAGCCAAACATACACCCTGAGGAGAGTCCCGAGAGTTAACTCTTTTTTTTTTTTTTTTTTTTCCTCTTGACTTGAGCTGTACCTGTGATGCTGGTGTCCCCTGTGATCTGGAAGCTTCCCACTCTGTAGGTGGGGAGTATTCTCTACACTACAAGTCTGGAAAGTTACCTCATACAACAGTGCCAGGAGCGGGTGTAAGTGCACTTTCTGGACCCTCCAAGCCCCACATTTGAAGAAGTGTGATCTATTAAGCGGTGTAGACAATAGGGACACAAAACCAAATAGTCAAAGAGCTTTGTTAATCCCGTGGGATAAGCCAGCACAAAACCAAAGCAAATGCCCCCCACCCCCCAAACCTAGAATATTTTTGTTTTTATAGGAGTTGTACAACTGGTTCATTAACTCAACTTCTCACTTTTCAACTCATTATTTTGGTGTAGATTTGATGCCTTGGTAATTCTATTAAAAACAGAAAGTTGGGGTGTTTGTAGAGTGTAGGTACAGTGAAGCACTGACAGTTTTGGCCAAATTTCTCGAAGGATCCTTTAGCTTCTAATCATTACAAAAGAATCCTCTGAGGAAGGCAGTTTTACATATTAAATTTCACCGTTACCTGTTTGTAAAACTGAAACGCAGTAAAATGGGAGAACATCTGTCTTTAATATTTCTTTCAAATCGCAGTTGTGATGGATGTTTCCAAGACCACCCACCTGAGGGATGTGGAGGCACCAAACGGTCGTAAGAATGACGCTAGACCCACGTCGGAACCCCATTGCTCATGCTCGCCATGTTGCTCTGTGGCAGTAGCTTGAGCTCCTCTCCTCCTTTTCCAGGAATTTCCTACCTGGACAGAAACAGATCTAAGAGGGGGCCCGCAAACGTCTTCCCAGTAAGAGCACCTTCTGGTGCTTGGAACTGGCCTGTGTCCCTCCTCCCGATCGATGTCCGTTTGGGTTTGCCGTTGGAGGCACCATCTTCTGGAAACCACCGGCCACTCTGGAGATGTCCCTGTGTCATCAGAGAACGGCCATGAGTAGAAACACTCCTCCCTCGTGCTGCCTGAGGGTAGACGGCATCATTGGCCCTGTCCCGGTTGGGATAGGGCCTCTTTCTCACAGCATCGTTAGGTTCACATCTCTTCAATCACCATTCCTCAGAAAAACTGTAACTCTCTTCTCCCCCTGTACATCAGGCTCTCTTCAGCTGGATTTCACACGAAATTCCTCATACGTTCAGTACGTTTTCAGGACTCCCATCCCAATTTTTTGATTAAATATCAACACCATTGGTCACACAGCAAGTGAACAGAAGCTTTTTACCCCAAATTTAAAAATTAATGAAGTTGGGGCACCTGGGTGGCTCAGTCGGTTGAGTCTCGGACTTCGACTCAGGTCATGATCGCACGGTTCGTGGGTTCAAGCCCTGCGTTGGGCTCTGTGCCGACAGCTTGGAGCCTGGAGCCTGCTTCGGATTCTGTGCCTCCCTCTCTCTCTGCCCCTAACCCACTCGCATTCTGTCTCTGTCTCAAAAATAAATAAACATTAAAAAAAAATTTTTTTTTAATTAATGAAGTTGGATCATCTGGACCAGTTGGTACCAAACCAAGGCATCCTGGGGCATATGAAGATTTCCCAAGGGGCATGCTCTCATGGAGCGGTTTAAGGGAAACAGTTTTCTTGTCAGACATTTGTATTTGAAGCCTCAAACGCTGGTCGTCCTCACCTCCCCTTTCAGAATCGCCCTTATCCTGTTTTATAAAGAAAAAAAATGCCTTTCACTCATCCGGAATTTTACTATTGTGCAGTGCCCCAGGGTGGACAGACCTCTTGGATGCCAGACAAAAAGACCATTTGAAATACTGTGGTCAACTCAGCCTTCTTTGATCAGGGCACCATGAGCTCCTGGTAAGTCTTCGTGTCCTTCTGCCTTCTATTTATTTCGGTTAAATGTAGAGCAAGATGAGTTGCTGGTTGTGGCAGAATGAACTCACATATGTTGTGGAACAGAAGGGCAGCAGTGGACAGTTTTCAGTCAGTACCCGTGTGTTCTTTGAGCATGTGCCTGTGGACATTGACTTCGCATGGAAAAGGCAGTATATTTGCGGTACAGTGATGATGAGCACAAGCTCCTGTAGTCTCTTCATTGTACCTCTGGACTCCCGTATTCCTTGACTATTCCATCTTCAGTCACTGGCTCTGTAATTGGAGACAAGCCTCAGTTTCCTCGTCTCTAAAATGCCGTTAAAATAGTGCCCACTGGGACACCTGGGTGGCTCAGTGGGTTAAGCGTCCGACTTCGGCTCAGGTCACAATCTCGCGGTCTGTGGCTTCGAGCCCCATGTCAGGCTCTGTGCTGACAGCTCAGAGCCTGGAGCCCACTTCGGATTCTGTGTCTCCCTCTCTCTCTGCCCCTCCCCCATTCGCACTGTGTCTCTCAAAAACGAATAAACGTTAAAAAAATTTTTTTTTAAAGTGCTGACTGCAGCAGGCTGCGGTGAGGATTAATGGAGGCAACGTTGGAAAAACATTTCAGAGAAGACCAGAGCAAAATAAATGCTTAAGAAGTGTTTGTTTCATGGATAAAACGCACTTACAGATTAAGTTAGAATGGGAGAGCATCCCCAGGTGTGACCAGCTATCCAGTAGTGGAGTACAGAGCTCTCCCTTCCCCAGAGAGAAGTCTGGCCTCTGTCCTGGTTTCTTGGACGGTAACCTGTAAGCCCTCAGAATGTGCCGTCCGAGGAAAGTTGTCAAAAGTGGACATTGAGGAAAGTGCTTCTGTTTACCTGGAGGCCATTGGGCAGTGGACAGAGCCAGCACAGTTTGGAGTGGAAGCTTTGTGCCACACCAACGATGTGCCGTGCAGTGGGGTTTGCATCATGGAGGGGCCGGAGACTGAGATCAGCTGTCTGGGCAGTCACTCAGGGCTAGGTGATGGAGCCCCAGGGAAATCCCTGGACACTGAAGCTCGAGCGAGCTCCCAGCTTGGAAATACTCGCTGTACGTTGTCACACACCAGTGCTGGAAAAGTAAAGTGGATCGTGACTCCCGGGGGAGAGGACAGCCAGAAGCTCCACATCTCATACTTTCTCTGCCTCTGCCCCACCCACCCTTTCCCTTGGCTGATTTTAATCCAAATCTCTCAGCTGTGATAAGCGTAGCAGTCAGTATAACAGCTTCCGGGGTGTTACACTGAAACCCAAGTGTAACTGAAGGCCTTGCTGATTCTGGAACCCAAGAGTGGTCTTAGGGATCCCTGAGCTTGCGATTGCTGTCACAAGTGGACATGGTCTTGTTCGTTTCATAAGGCATCTAACTATTGGGTTCCGATGTTGTATACCTGAATCCAGTACAGTATTGTATGTCCACTCTTCAATTAAAAAAAAAAAAAAAGTGGGTGTGGTCTTGTGGACTCTTTTCTCTAAACTTTGCACCTGCGAAAGGACTTTTTCTTTGTGCCCATAAGAGTTGGTGTTGTCACGTTGGCTAACTTGGCTTTTGTGATCATTTGTTTCTGAACTCAGCAATTAACTCTTATTTTCTAAATAGGGACACATATGGAGGAGAATTACTTAATCCGACTGATAACCCAGAAGGAACTTGCAAATTCCTGTGTTGTTGTGAAGTCCCTCAGCCTCAACCTTGCCTATGGCTGTTGGTCGTGATGCAGTGGTCTGACACCTTGGCTTCCGATCAGCTCCACGGGGCGCTCAGTAGGGACGACGAACTGGGTTCCTTTAGATAAGTCAGTGTCTTATCAGTTCTGTTTCTGTGGAGAAGCCCGACTCATGCCAAGGTGGAGGCGCCTAAGAATCATCTCAAGGTTATTGTTGAAGGTGAGCTGGATCCAGTCTACTGCTCTCCCAGAGCAAAGGAAACAAGAAAAATTAGAATGTCACAGGTGGAAACAACATAGAGAGTGTTTTCCGTTTCCCTCAACATCCCTCGTCTATTCCAGTCATTCTGCTTGTATGAAGAGGACTTACAGGTTCCCACACAGAGTGTTTCTTCATGTTCTGGAAAGGATCCATTCTCGTAACAGCAGCCACTGAAAACGACAGCTCAGGAAACCTAGTGCCCACTTCTAGTCAAAATCGACAGACGGTAATAGCAAACCACGACGAACTACTCCTCATTCTCCGTGTGATAAATGCAACTCATACATGATCTCATTTGGCCTCCATCACAACAATGCACAGTAGCTGTGATTTCTCCCATTTTATTTTATTCCACTCTTTTACTTTAAATTTTTTAAAAATGTTTTTATTTATTTTTGAAGGTGAGAGAGACAGAGCATGAGCAGGGGAAGAGCAGAGAATGAGGGAGACATAGAATTGGAAGCAGGCTCCAGGCTCTAAGCTGTCAGCACAGAGCCCGACGCGGGGCTCAAACTCACGAACTGTGAGATCATGACCTGAGCCAAAGTTGGATGCTTAACCGACTGAGCCACCCAGGCGCCCCACATTCTATTTTATTTTAGAGAAAGAGCATGCGAATGAGCAGGGGAGAGGAGCAGAGACAGTCTCTCAAACAGGCTCCATGCCTATCTTGGAGCCTAGTGGGGCTCGATCCCACAACTCTGGGACTATCACCTGATCCAAGAATCAAGACTCGAACACTCAACCCACTGAGCCACCCAGGTGCCCCTATTTCTCCTGTTTTAAAAACAAGGAAACTGAAGTACATAAAGTTTCTGGTCAAAGCTTGCTAGAAGGGTGTGTTGACCCAGCCCTAGGGGACACACAGACGGAAAAACTAATGTCCACTACACGGAAGGAACTTTGTCTGGAGAAGTGAACTAGGATTGCCAGGCAAGCGAGAACCACTGCACAGGCCAGAGAAGACAGAAGCTGTCACCAGAAGTCAGGACCGTCACACCTGGGGAATCCCACACAGATATTTCATATCGTGGGCGCCCATTTACGAGAGCAGGATGGGGCGGTGGAGAGGCAGCAATTTGACTCTGGGGCCGGACCCTGGGCTCCAGTCTGAGTTCTAACATGACTGCCCTTCAATCTGGGAAATTCCTCTTCCCTAGGCCTATGTCTCCCTACCTATAAAAGGCAATTGGATTAGAAAATCCTGGAGTTTTGCAAAGATTGTGCAAACCTCTCTGTAAAACACGGCCCCAAGCTCGGTTTTCGTGGCTTTCTCAAAAAGAAAAATACAGATTTGTTGTGCAAGTGTCCCATTTGAATCCCTTCTACTTCTCATTATCTGCTCTATTTCCCTGTGTATTTGTCTAGATTTGTTTGAGAGAAAAAAAAAAAAAATCCTTGGTTAGAAACAATCACTCTACACTTGTGAAATACTGTTTTCATGCCCGGCGTCTTCCGTTCTTCTTAACAGAAGCCCGAGTGGTAGTCACCGTGCTCTAATGAGAGAGATTATTTCAGAACGTCAGCATGTCACCTTGAAGAAGTTTACCGGCTTAAAAATGGGTCTTGAAGTGTACAGAAGAGGCATAATTTGCATACTTTTGCTTCCTGTAACAGTCTTTTTCCAAATAACACATCTGTCCTGTCTCCATTTGCCTGAAGCAGTGTAGAGAGCATACTGTCTTTGAAAGAGAGAATTAATAATGCATTAGGCAGCCTTCATCTGGAATAACAGTTCAGGTGTAGTCCAGTTGGCATCTAATCCAAGATACTAATATCATAGTCCCTGGGAGGGTGGGATTCCCATGTAAATTGCCATCGATTTTGTACTTTGACAGTCACTGGGGCGCCTGGGTGGCGCAGTCGGTTAAGCGTCCGACTTCAACCAGGTCACGATCTCACGGTCCGTGAGTTCGAGCCCCGCGTCGGGCTCTGGGCTGATGGCTCAGAGCCTGGAGCCTGTTTCCGATTCTGTGTCTCCCTCTCTCTCTGCCCCTCGCCCGTTCATGCTCTGTCTCTCTCTGTCCCAAAAATAAATAAACGTTGAAAAAAAAATAATTTGACAGTCACTAATGTAATGTATGCTATGAACAAGGAAGGACCCAGGCTGGATGAGGCATATAAAGAAAACCAACTTCTCTGACATTCGGTTTCCTCATCTCTGGAACGCTTACCGTTGTAATATTTACCTGAAAAAGAGAGAAGGTGGTGCCTTTAAAATTCCAGTTTCTGGCGTGGTGGAGATATTCACTAAACAGTAACCTCGCCGTAGCAGATGTAAACCCTTGTTGCCCTGAAGGAACTGAATGTAAGTAGTGAGAATTCCTGCCGTCCTAATGAGTGACAATATTAGAAGCCAGAATGTGGTCAGAGAGAGAAAGATGGCAAGAACAAGAAACGGGTACGTTGAAGGAGAAGAGAGTACTTTCGTTTAGAGAAGTGAGGTAAGAATGTATCGTGGCATTTGCCATTTCTTTTGGGCCTTAAAAGATTTGGTTTTTGGGGACCCTGGGTGGCTCAGTCAGTTGAGTGTCCAACTCTTGCTTTCAGCTCAGGTCATGATCCCGGGGTAGCCCCCTGTTGAGCATGGAGCCTGCTTGAGATTCTCATCTTCTCTTTCCCTCCCTCCCTCCCTCCCTCCCTCCCTCCTTCTCTTTCTCTCCCTCCCTCTCTCTCCCTCCCTCCCTCTTTCCTTCTCCCTCACCATCTCCCTCTTTCTCTCTCCCTCTTTCCCTCTCCCCTGCTGGCACGCTCTTTCTCTAATAAAAAAATAATAATAAAACACTAAAAGATTAGGTTTCCATAGGCAGTGTAAGGGTATTTGATTTGTAGACTCTCCTTCAGTTGTCAGCCCTGATCAGGATAATGCAGCGGGCAAGTTGAATGTCTATGGTAAAGTAACGTAACTGGATACTAAGAAATCGTTTCAAGGGGCAGGTTGTAGACCCCTGGCTCTAGTTTGTCCTGGTTAGCACTTTGACAGTGACTTGATTATCACATTGCCAGAGGACATGGAAGCTGCAGGGATGGTGTACGTGGAATAACGGGACGCAAATCCAGTGGGTTTAATCTTGTAAGATGATGTTTAAAAGCACACGTATTTACAGTTCTGTAATGAGATCCACCAAATAATCAGGCTCTAGAGTTTAGGTAGGAAAAAAAATGATGAGTTTAGTCAACTGTAAGTCATATGAGAGAGAACGTCTAAAAACCCATTGAGGGGCTCTTGGGTGGTTCATTTGGTTGGGCATCCAGCTCTTGATTTCGGCTTAGGTCATGATCTTGCTGCTCGTGAGTTCGAGCCCTGCATTGGGGTCTGTGCTGGCAGTGCGGAGCCTGCTTGAGATATGCCCTCTCTCTCTCTCTCCCCCTCCCCTGCTCACTCGCTCTCTCAAAGTGAGTAAATAAACTTAAAAAAAAAAAAAACCTCATTGAGATTTCACGCTGCAGTGATAAAATTTCACTCAACAAACATCTAATGAAGGGCTACTATATGCAAAGAACATATATCTGTAAAGAGTACACATTTGGACGCTGTGATCTCAGGACTTGATTTTTAATAGAATCAATAGAAATGAAATGAATTTCACAGTTGAATGCTGCACTCCAACTGTGACAAGTGCCAGGAGGGAAAAGTACAGGGTGCCACACGTACACATAACAAGGGGACCTGAGCTCACGTCAGGGTCTGGGGAGGCCTTCTTGAAGAAATGCCTTTCACTGAGAAAGATGATGGGAATTAACCAGGTAAAAGAATCTTCCAGGTAGAGGAGGCAGCATTTATGAAGGTCTTCAGCCAAAAGTGAGGCTGCAGACTGCAAAGACAAGACATGCCAGGACTGAGTCTCGAAGGAATTCAGTTCAACTGGAAAGTCCTGAGATAACTGGACGACTCATACGAGGTGGAATGTGGTCAGTGCTGTGAAAGATCTCAGAATAAAGTTTTGCAGATCATAGGAGATCTTTCTGTTTGCCCGGGAATTAGGTAAAAATTCACCAAGATGAGCTTTCGTTTGTTTTTTTTTTTTATTTTCGAGAGAGCGTGCACACATGTGAGCAAGGGAGAGTGAGTGGGGGGGAGAGAGAACCTCAAGCAGGCTCCACATTCAACGCAGAGCCCAACATGGGGCTCAGTCCCATGACTATGGGATCATGACCTGAGCTGATATCAAGAGTCAGATGCTCAACCAACTGAGCTACCCAGGTGCCCCTCGTTTAGGTCTTTAAAGAAAGATGTGGTTCTGGTGGGCAGGGTTAGGGTATCCTCCAGAGGCAAAGACCGGTTAGAGGAGGATAAGAAGAGTTAAACAGGGAGGAAGAGTCTCAGTATGGTGTGGGATCGTGGGAATTGAAGAGAAGTTTACAACGAGAGATGGGTCATCATTTGGGATGATTTGACAGTGTTCAGGTAGGATGAGAACTGAGCTCCATCCACTGTATTCACCCAACTGGAAATTACTGGTAAACTTAGCGTGAGTGGACTGAGCTGTGAGTAAAAAGTGAGGAAATGGAGCCCACAGGTAGGGAGCAGCCCAGAACGGCTCGAAAACTCAATGCTGTAGGCTTTCGGTGACCAGATCCTTGTGATGTTCCTTTTTTTTTTTTTAATTTTTGGAATGAAGCACAGAACAATAGTCATGCAGTAGTCCTACAAAACTTAATTTCAGTTGGATGAATGAATATTTGGGGAAAGAAAGGTTAATTATACTAGAAATAGGACAAGACTTTGGGGAAAAAGACTTACTATCACACTTTGTCTCTAGCAAATTACTAACTTTGTGACCTTGGGCAAGTCATTTAACCACTTGGAGCCCTACTTTCCTTACTTATAAAATGAGGATAATGATAATTGATCTAATTTCCCTAAAGAGTTGGTGAGCATGCAAAAGTAAGAAACTTTCCATGAATGTGTGGGGTCCTTATCTAATAAAAGATACTTTAGTATTCGAAGGATTTGAAGCTATGTCATGGACTGAGGAGGTGGTCAGATCATTGCCTCGTCTTCCTGGACTACATTTCCCAGGGACCCTTGCACTGGAATAGCCCTGTGTTTGTGTGTGAGCAGTGACGTGTGACCAGAGGGGTTATGTGCCGCTTCCGGGACCGGGTCATTGAAGCCTCCCCAAAGGGCCCCTACATCATGCTCCTGCTGC